TGGGTAGATGCGCTGCAATCAAGTCAGGCCCTTCCCTTTTTGAACCGGAAGCACCTCAAATAATAACCAGAAAACTGTAATCACAAAGCTTAGTGAACTCCCCAAAACACCATATACCATACATATCAAGTAGATAACGAGCCCAGGCCAGAACCACATAGCGGGCCCCGCCCAGACACGTATAATGGGCCCAACATACAACAACATACAAGTATAACACATGTAATAGCATACATAATAATTTTTGGGCCCCACCCATTAAGCATACAAGCACATACACATGAAAGAGTCACACATACGTCTAACATCCTAACATAACAACCATGGGTTGAAATTGGTGCCTTTAACCCGATAAACATGGTGAGGAAACTCACCTTAGTTTACTGATAGCCAAATAACTGCTCGGACAACTGAACTAAATAACCTCATGTAAACTCCAAAATGTAGATGAAGATGCAACAAGTCTGGTTCCAAAATCTTCAACCAATCCTACGATTCTCCAAGAAGTTCCTTCTTCTTCAATGAAAACCAAAAAGCATGAAATACCACCAAAATCTCAAAAACCACTCAAATGGGTTCTAAGGATTTGATGCTATGGTTTAGAGGGATGGAGTTCAGAGATAATAGGCTTTAGTTATTAGTTAAGGAGCTAAAATAGGGTCCAAGACCCTAAATTAGGGTTTAGGTCTGACCGGAGTACTGCATGTGTACTTCTAGTACACGCAGTGTAGTCTATAAGGCATCCACTATCACTTTCCTTAGTACGCCCAACATATGCCAATGTATTCCCCGCATACTGGCCTTCTGACTAATACGCTATTCGTATACGTGTGTACGCCCAGCGTACTTAGTTAAACCCTAAAACCACCAAATTTTCGAAGGCCATAACTTCTTTGTTATAAGTCCGTTTGTGATGATCCTTATATCCACGAAAAGGTAACGAGAACCTCCAAGCTTCTATTAATTCATACTTTCCTTAAAACTAACCGAACTAAAATTCAATTTCTATAAAATCCGAAACTAACACTTTTATTGAAATACCACTTGGATCTAAAATATAAACCAAAATCACAGATCATCTAAATAACATTACCCATACTCAAATGGGTCTAAATCCATTTTTCTCAATGGCCCTAAGCCTGATGATACCCAATCTTCGGTCACTACCCCACATTAGGAAACGATTCTGAACAAGGCATTACAAATCTCCCCTACTTAAGTTAGATTTCATCCTCAAAATTACTCCTTACCCCCTTCCTGTAAACTAATGCTCTGAACAAACACTTATAACGTTTAACAAAGCGATGAACCCATATCTAACGATTCAATGCAACACTTCTGAAATCCCAAAATCATATCACTTGCCTAACCTCCACACTAGTGGGACCAATCTGAAATATAATCACAAGAGTCTCGACTATTGGTAGTTGTCGAGGCCAAAAAAATTAATAACCCTAAGTCTTTTACACTAGTGTATAGTGGTAAAGGGGTCAAATCCATGGTGACTGTTTTAATTTGTTACTCAATGAAAATCTCTTTGTAAAAATACTTGTTAAATAACGATAAAAATAAAAATGGGGGTTTTCATCTTTTGAAGTACTTGAAATAAAATAAAACTACATGAAGATTTAAATAGATAATTTCAACAAAAACAAGAGTTTATTGTAAAATCAATAAGAGAAAGATGGATGACTTAAGGTTTCCACATTATGAGTTTTTGATGAACATGTCATTAGAATCCAATGGTGCAATACTTGTTTTTAAAATACTTAATTTGGCTATAGTAATCCAAGGCGCTTGAGATTACCTAGACTTTTCTTAATTGTTGAAGTGTTTATAGAAGCTTATAACAATTTCCTTAGTCAAAGTCACTAATTCCAATAAACATGTAATTAGTGAAAGTCAACTAGCATTAAGAACGAAAAGGTCACCAAATCCAAGAGGAGTTAAAAGAATCCAATACCATGTTGGAGAAAAAGTTTTTATGGTTGTGTGAAGTATAACTAACACAAGAATCACTTGTTGCTTGCTAGTTTGAAGATCCTTTACTTAATCAAGAAATTAGCCAACTAATCACCACAAACACATTCAAACACCTGAATAAAAACATACAAGTAGTGATAAGATGTTAAAACACAAAACATTTTCATAATTCAAGAACAAGTTCATGGATTCTTCAATATTCAAAAAAAGTTCAAAGGATTCAACAAAAGTCAACAAAGATTTGTATAACCAAGCACGGCTAACTAAAGTAAAAAAAGTTAGATAAGATTGTACCAAACATTTGACAAGAGTCAAGAGATGAAAAGATGAAGTTCTTCAAGGTTTTTGGCTTTCAAATTTCTCCAAAACTCCAGACAAAATGCCTCAAAATCGGATGTCAAAGATAAGGCTAAAGAGGCACACCATCATTCCCAATATAGAGCTCTAGGTAAAATCCAGCAATTGCCCCTTTCAGGAATCCATGCGGGCTGCGGGCTTTCCTTCGCGGGCCGCGTGACTATGACGGGTATTTGTGCTCCTTCATGTCTTGGGCCGGCATAGCTGGTCCTCTGGCCCAATTCTAGTCTAATCAGCTTCAAACCCATTTTTCTTCAATATTTCTTCAATTTGAACCCAATTTGCCTCTCCAAATCACTCGAGGCTTCCACAAACTCCCAATCATCGATCCCCGCATACTTGAAAATCCCCTCCCCCCCCCCCCCCCCCGTGCATCTCGTAAATTTAAAGTTTAATTCTTTCAACCCTTCAAATTGTTGACAAGCCCACTCCATGTATCGCCTCAATAGCCATCAAGCCCAAAATCTTTGTTTTCCTCTAAGTCCAAATGCTTCAAAAAGATCTCGCACATTCCCACTCTGCTAACCCCTTAAAATCTTCAATTAAGCTTACAAAACTCGAAGTACCCGAAAATGGACATAAAATAACGAAAAGTAGAATATGCATGGAAATTATCTAAATTTTGAATGAAATACGCTAAAATAAACTATAAAGAGAAGTATATAAAATGAAGCTATCAAAGCACCCCAAGCTTAAAACTTACTTGTTCTTAAGTAAGACAAGACAAAAATGAACTCGGGATGAACTATCCTAAGCAAAATAAAAAGAATGGATAGAACCGCAGAACCTGATCACCGTTAGTCAACATGGTCAGAATTGATCTTGTTATTATCTTATTACTTTTTCATCTAATGACAAAAGGACCATAAACCACAGCTAGGATAACTCCTCTAGGTGATTAAGGAGGGATGAATAGTTGCAGCCCCAATGGAACATGCATACAATGAAGAAAAACTATAGTTCGGAGAAGGCAGCTAGATGGGCTCGTGTGGAGATCTTATTTAAGTGTACTCTATGATCTCACGTCTGCCGGTTTATCTCATGTGTAATTAGGTTTAATCGCTTGGGCACCATTGTAGGAATCGGTTCACTTAGTGTTGGCCCAAACCTCCCGTAGTATCCGACTCGGCAATCTCCCTAACATCACCAATTTGTGAAAAACAACTCATTCTATGTACAATAAAACAAGCCTATATAAATGAATATCAAATGCCAGGTGACCAAAATGTTGGATGTTTTGTTCAATAATTGAACCGGTCACCCTTCTCAGATAATTGCAGCTGGAAATTTGCCTGCCATTTTTGTTTTGTTTTTGTTTTTGTTTTTGTTTTTTGTTTTTTGTTTTTTTTTTTGTTTTTGTTTTTGGTTTTGTTTTTTTTTTGTATTTTTTTTGTATTTTTTTACCATACTTGAAGGTAATGTATTAAGAATCGGAATTTTTAACAAGAAAAACCCTTCGACTCAAAATTTGGTTCCGAAAAGTGTGTAAGTGGAATCGAAAGTGTAGTAATATAATCCGAATGGTCTAAGTGTGAAAATTACCATGTGTGGAGCATAAAGATGTAATGTAAGCTCCTTTTCAAACTTGCAATTTTTCAAAAATAATGAAAATGTCCACATGCGGAATAAAAGACTCTCTAAAATCCTAAGAAAATCGAAAAAAGATATGGTGATGTAAAGAGAACGGATATGGATTCTACTCAGGGACAAGCACCAGTGATTCATTCTAACGGTTCAAATATGATCAAGTGTCATCCTATCGACGGTAGTGACCGCAAGGCTAAGAACATCCATTGCAATAGTATATCCTACAGGTGTTAGTATTGCATGCATAATTCTTCATGAAAACTACCTGGCCATCATCACTTACCCCTTTAAGCTTCCAGCATCAGATCCCAAATATGAAATCCCAAACTGCAACCAATGGTCCCGGCTGGATGGTGGAGATAGCAACAAGATCATGGACCAATAATGATACAATAACTGTGAACCTGTTCCACCACATCCAAGAGGGTGAGAATAAACATACAACAAAAATGCATATATGCTAATGCCCTAAGCTAAATTTTATGCAAAAATATAAAAGGTGAAATAGAAGAAATTATTTTTTTTTTGGAACTTTATATATATATATATATATATATATATATATATATATATATATATATATATATAATGAATGCAAATTAGCTTAAAACAAAAATCTTATGCAACCAAGTTAAAAAAAACGCATGAAAAAGTAAAAGAAAAGGGAATTGCCCCACCCCAAGCTTAAGAACAAGCATTGTCCTCAATGCTTAAGTAAAGGGCGGAAATGACCTAAATCAGAGGGTCGGGTGGTGGTAAATGCTCGTGGAGATAGTGGGAGTCCCACATATCGTGGACCTGGAGGGAAGTGGGCGGGAAGGATTGTTCAAGTCGATCAACATAGGTCACCACACCCTGGATGGCCCAGGTGTTCCCCTGCATCTAAGTATCGATTCGCTGGATAGTGGTGAACATTCTGGCGAACTGGTTGAAGAAGTTAGGGGGAAGTATGGTGGGATCTTGTGTCCACCCTGTTGCTGTGGTGGATACTGAAGCGCAGCAAAATGTTGTGGAGGCTGAAACTGGTCATCTTCATCATCCACAGGAGGAGGGTAGTCAGATGGAATGACCCATTATTCGGGGTCGGTTGGTTCGAAACACCCTATATATTTGTGTGGAAGAATGAGGTATGGTTGATTGTCAAGATTCCAAATGGGACCATTGACCAAATCCCGGATGATTTGCATTCGACGGAGTGTGTGGCCGTTAAGGCTAGAGGGGCCGAAAGCTTTCTCAAATGGGAGGGTGGAGAGATGAAGTTGAAGTAGGGTCCGGGATGCAATAAGGGTGATCAATCCCCTAATGAAAATGTCTCCTTTGTCCATAGTCATGAGGTTGTAACATTTGGTGAAGAAGAAGGAGGCAAAATCCGGCCGGGGGCCATTCTCACGAGTCATGCACCAAAGAAAAAATAATTCCGCCTTTGAAATTTGACCCACTTCGGAGCGGAAAAAAATGGTGCATGTGAGTACTCGATGCGCTAGGTGCAAACATGGGTGAATTATCGAGGAGGCCTTGGATGAATATGATGAATATTGTGGCTCGTCGGTAATCTGGTGCCAAAAATGATGCCCGTTGAAGTTTCCGGGCCATGGGTCTTGTTGGTAATATAGGTTGTCCACTAGAGTTCCTATCAGGGTGTTCACGACCCGATGTGGTAGGGATCGTGTCTCGTTGAGCATTTAGAAGGTAATGGTTTCGGCTTCCTCTTCGAGATTAAATATGGTGAGAAATTCCAAGGTTGGTTCAACATAGGTGGCAACACGGTTATAGAGGAATTGGCCCCACCCTATGTTGTTAAATAACGCTTGGACTCCATCGACTACCCCGAGACTAACAAAAGATTCCCTATGGAGGAATTTTGTTCACTTGACTTCACACTTATTTAAAATGATAAAATAATATGTTTTTCAGTCCACGCGATTCAATAAACAAAACGACGAATCCTTGGATTTTCCTTTCGAACCACCTTTAGAGGAAGTAGCTCCCGTCCCCGTTTTTGCACGTTTAGAAATTTACTTGGGACAAAACAATTTCAATTAATAATCTTCAAATGATACCAAAGACCACACAATTCCAACAACTAATGGGTAATCAAGATGTAAATGATCAAGATAAACGAATGAAAGTACCCAATTTTATTAGACTCGGTAAGAATGGTGGAAGCGGAATTAGAGTCACCAAAGAGATTCTCCAAGACACACCCGAAGCTTATGATTTTGCTTCGTATTTGATGCTGTAATCGCTAAACAACCCTACAAACGAGCTTCAAGATGACTTTCCAACGACTAGAGTGGCAGCACCCAGAATTGGATGGAAATTTTATTCGTGAGTTATTGGGGAAAGATGGGTATGGTTAGAAATCCCTTTATGAGAGAAACACAACCCTATGCTCAGAATCTCCAATGGTGGCCAGAATTGGCCGGAAAATGCAAAAGAAAGTGGTGGTGGGTGGTGGTGGCACTCGAAATTCCGGCCAAAGATCGAACCGGATTTTGGGTGGGGTTTGTAGAGGATGAAAAATGGTGAAGAATGGCGGTGGTCTCGCGAGATTCTGACGGGTAGAAGTCACGGAAATCGAACTTTTATGGAAGTGGATTATAGAGTTCTTGAGCTTCTAGAGAGAAAATGGTGGAATTTGTTAGGTTAGAATGAAGAAGATGAGTGTTGGTGTTGTTTTAATCTTTGGTCAAGAGAGGTCAAACCCGGTCAATGTTTGGTCAACTCATTAAAACTTAGTCAACAACTTAAAACCTTAGTCAATCGACCAACACGCGGGCAGGGTGTGGGCCACAGGCAGGGCGTGGGCTGTGTGTTGGCTGCGTCTAGCCATTCAAAATTGACTCATCCCTCGAAAATGTAACGCGGGCACCACTCGGGTCGCAGGCTGGCCGCGGGTGCTGATCGACGGGAAAAAAAACTAAGTGTTGGTAACCCTACGTGGGCTGGGTGCGGGCCGCGTGCTGTTCGCGTCTAGCTAGCCAAAAACCCCTGAACCCTATGATCCTTCATGTGGGTGTTTCTTGGGCCGCAGGCTAGCCACGTTTTCTTAACGGCAATTCGACCTTTGAACTACGCGGGCCGCGGGCTTTTTTTCTATTTCTCGCATGGGCCGCGGGCCCTTCCTGTAATTCAAAATTTTAGATTTTCCACCAAACTTGATTTTAGCTCAAAATGATCCCTGTATGGCCCGGTTTCAATATTTTCGACAAAATTGGAATTAAATGGGAAATGAAGGATGCGACCTTTCAAAAATTTATTTTCAAAGTCTCGAAAACGCTGTTTTAAAGTGATTTACATGGATTTAGAAAAAGATGAAAGTATAATGCTTTTCAAAAATTCCCTTCTTTAACGTCTTTTGTGAGACGTCTTTCCCTTTCGATTTTAGTATACCAGGGCATCCAATTGGATGACATCTAGGACATTTGCGTTAAAACCTTCATAGAAAGGTTTCAAATGATGCCCATTGACTGCCATGTTTCTTCACATTGGATCTCAACCGCTCCGTGCTCAAAGACTTTTAGCACCACAAATGGACCTATGCATCTTCACCTCAACTTTCTGGTAAATAATTTCAATTGTGAGTGGTAAAGCAAAACCCTATGCCCCGGTTCAAAATGCTTCCGGGTGATGGACTTGTCATGGAAGAGCTTCGTTCTCTCCTTGTAAATCCTTGAGTTTTCATAGGAGTCATTTCTCAATTCTTCCAGCTCTTGGAGTTGAAGCTTCCTATGTCTCCCTGCCTCATCAGTATTGTAATTACATTGCTTGACTTCCCAAAATGCCCAGTGGTCTAATTCGACGTAGAGATGACATGGCTTTCCGAAAACCAACCTGAAGGGAGACATTCCTATCAGGGTTTTGTAATCGGTCCGATAGGCCCATAAGGCATCATCAAGCCTCAAACTCTAATATTTCCTTGTCGGATTCATTGTTTTCTCTATAATACTCTTCACCTCACGATTTGAGACTTCCGCTTGACCGTTCGTTTGAGGGTTGTGGGAAGTAGAGACACGATGGGTCACCTTGTACTTTTTCAGCAAGGCCTCCATCGTCTTATTGAAAAAATTCATCCCTCGATCACTAATCAAAGCCATAGGCACACCAAACCTAAGAAAAACATTTGATTTTAAAAACTCGATAACTATTTTGGCATCATACGATCTTGTGGCTTTGGCTTCAACTCACTTAGAAATATAGTCAATCGCGAGAAAGATGTAAACGTGCCAAACAAAATAGGAAATGGGCCCATGAAATCAATCCCCCATACATAAAAAATTTCACAACCAAGGATTAGATTTTGTGGCATTTGATTTTTTTATGAAATGTTTCCCGTCCTTTTACACCGTTCACAACTTTTATAAAACATGTAACAATCGCATGACATGGTTGACCAAAATAATCCACATTCAAGAACCTTTCTCAAAGTTCGGCTTGGTCCGAAGTATCCCCCACAAGCAAATTCATGACAAATTTGCAGAATGAATTCTTGTTAGGGTACACATTGTCTAATGATTTGATCGGGACAATGTTTCCACAAATAAGGTTCATCCCACACGTAGTATTTTGCATCAATTTTGAGCTTGTATTTTTTAGCATGTGAGAATATGGGGGGAACCTTTTCTGACCAAAAAGTTAACGATATCAGCATACCAAGGAGCAGACTGAATAAAGGAAAAGAGATGCTCATCCGGAAACTCGTCCTACGATGGGAGAGGAGTTTCATTTGAAGTGATCTAGCTTAAGTGGTAGGCAACAAGGTTCTCAAATCCACTCTTGTCCCGGATTTCCATGTCAAATTCTTGTAACAGTAATATCTACTGGATGAGTCTTGGCTTTGCATCTTTCTTTGTCATTAAGTCCTTGAGAGCTACGTGATCCGAATACACTATAACTTTGGTGCCAAGTAGATATTGCCTGAACTTCTCCAAAGCGAACACTATTGCGAATTGCTCCTTCTCCATGTTAGAGTAGTTGCTTTGAGCATTGTCTAGTGTTCTCGATGCATAGTAGATCACATGGGAAGCTCTTCCATTCTTTTGACCCAAAACTGTGCCAATAGCATAATTGCTTGGATCACACATGATCTCGAAAGAGAGATCCCAATTTTGTGCTTATATGATGGGGGCGGATGTAAGAAATTCCTTGAGCTTATCGAAAGCTTCTTTGCACGCCTCATTGAACTTGAAATCGTCCTCCTTTTGCAAGAGTTGGCACATTGGTCTTGTTATCTTTGAAAAGTCCTTGATGAGTCATCGGTAGAAACCTGCATGGCCCAAAAAAGAACGAACTTCTCGAACATAGGTCGGGTAAAGTAAACTTTGAATAACATCAATATTTGCCTTATCTACCTCAATTCCTTTTTTATACACAATGTGACCAAAAATGAGACCTTGACTCACCATGAAATGACATTTCTCAAAGTTTAAAACCAAATTTGTTTCATCGCATATTTTCAAAATTTTGGTGAAATTGGTCAAACACTCTTGAAAGGAGTTCCCATATAACATAAAATCATCCATAAAAACCTTAATTATGTTTTCGACATATTCGAAAAAGATACTAACCATGCAACGTTTGAAAGTAGCCGAGGTGTTACACAATCCGAATGGCATTCTAGAGTATGCGAAAGTGCCAAATTAACATGTAAAAGTTGTCTTTTCTTGGTCTTCCGGTGCCACCGAGATTTGGTGAAAACCGGAATACCCGTCGAGACAACAATAGTGAGATTTTCCGGCAAACCTTTCTAACATTTGGTCAATGAAAGGCAATGGAAAATTATCTTTTCATGTGCTTGGATTGTGTTTGCGGTAGTCAATACATACTCTCCACCCGTTTTGCACACGAGTGGGGACCATCAGACCTTTGTTGTTCTCAACCACCGTGATTCCCGTATTTTTAGGCACAACTGGGACCGGGCTCACCCATTTTTCTATTTGATATTGGATAAATCATTCCCACATATAGGAGCTTCAAAATCTCTTTCTTGACCACTTCCATCATTGGCAACTTCAACCTTCTTTGTGGGTCTCCACTCGGCTTGCATTCGTCCTCCATTAAGATCTTATGCATACAAGTAGACGGACTCAACCCTATGATATCCGTAATCGTCCAACCCATGGCTTTTTTATGCTCCTTCAACACCTTGTGGAGTTTCTCTTCTTCAAATTCGGTTATGTGAGTTGAAATGATAACCGGAATGGTTTCATCCTTTCCCATGTAGGCATACTTAAAGTGTTGAGGTAGGACCTTCAATTCCAATTCGGGTGGTTGAACACGGGATGGACACAACTTCGTATGGGTTGGGGGCAACTCAATTTGCTTGAAATCAAATCTTGTGGATTTCTTCACCTCTAAATTATTGACCAATCTCTCAACCTCCGGATCCAAAGAATAATGCTTCAATTGTTCAGCTAGCTTTCCACAATCAAACCCCTTGCTCAAGATCATCTCCAACATATCACCACTTGTTCTAATACTTTTTGTATAGTTCTTATCATAAAAATGTGTCGTTGTATGCATGTATTTCGGATTTTTATAACCTAAAATAATCTATTTATGTGAAATAAGGATTTTAGGTACAAAAACTTTTGTCAGAGACTTTGAGTCCCTAAGCATTTATAGTTTGTATATCTTATGAGGTTCGATATACTTAGTTCACTATAAACATTGCTCTGCTACC